AGGAATGCTCCGTCAAGCAGGCCCATCCCAGACCATTTAGGGCCTTACAACTCAGAGCCTACACCACCTTTACCTTCATCTGGAAACCATCAGGCAGCCACTGCAGAACACAGAGCATTAGGGCCATGTGCTCACTGGGAGATCCTGCACTTAAGCTCGAGACACACCTCAGCAGAGAGGTCAAAGATGGACTGGTGAGACCACAAGAAGCTTATTCTGCCTCAACCATGGCACGGGCAAACAAGGGACTCCAAGCCCCGAGACTGTCAGGCTTGCACCTATCACCAGCACTGGTTTTGTAAGAACCATTGTATTTTTAAATGCCTTACCCCAAATCCTGCCAGATCTGTTTGCACTCAAGGTCTGGCTCTAATCCGGCTGCCTCATTGCCACCAAAGTAAGTGACATAGAGTCTTTCAATGGGGATGCCGAACTCGTTGGTGAGAAGGTCCAGAGCCAGTTTACAAGCCAGTTCCTGAACCAGGAAAGACAAGATAAGTGAGGAAGAACAAATGGATTTTTTTAGCCATACAATACAGCCCCAAACCAGAGCAGGCAAGGACTGCAGGGACAGACCGTAATGCCTCAGAATAGACTTTGCACACAGTAAATGAAAGAGGAAGCACATGTAACAGAACACATGAAAGATCTCCTCACTGACTCCACTTGCGGGCAAAAGAATGGAGGCCTAGCACATATACAGTGGATTGCCTGTCTCTCTAGGCCCACTGTGGATAATCCCTGGAGTTGCCAGCTCTGTGAAACACCAGCCCCTCAGAACCTGGTATGAGCTAGGCTCAGATTTTTAGATAACAAATAAGGTGAAGAACCTGACTAACAACAGCTGAAACAGGCAGGCCAACATTTGCAGGGGCCAGAAAGTTCCTTGGATGGCTTCATACAAGCAGCAAAATAAAATATATATTTAGCAGGTTCCATTGCGATTCTCTTTCCTCATTAAATCAACAATGGAACTAAAAATCAACCACATTGACACACACTATCATTTTTTAACATCCCCATTCAGGAAGTTCAGTAGCACAGTATTCACTCTTGAACTAAGCCAACTGCAAGATCACCACATCACACGTCCTCATTTTATGCTCATACATCCTCAGCAAGTGCTTTTCGCTAACTTCAGCTGGCATCCAGAACTTCTGCTGGAACCCTGCCTCCAAAGTTCTAGTGATAGAGATGTAGCCGTGTTAGTCTGGGGTAGCTGAAGCAAAATGCAGGACAATGTAGCACTTTAAAGACTAACAAGATGGTTTATTAGATGATGAGCTTTTGTGGGCCAGACCCACTTCCTCAGATCAAATAGTGGAAGAAACTAGTCACAACCATATATACCAAAGGATACAATTGTTCATCTTTTTTTTTTAACTGTATCCTTTGGTATATATGGTTGTGACTATTTTCTTCCACTATTTGATCTGAGGAAGTGGGTCTGGCCCACGAAACTTCATCACCTAATAAACCATCTTGTTAGTCTTTAAAGTGCTACATGGTCCTGCATTTTGCTCCAAAGTTCTACAGATTGCAGCCCGAGCCACTTACAAATGAAGGGCTGCAGAAAGATCATTGGAAAATGACTGTTCTGTGTGAAAGCCTGCTCAGACACTAGAAGCCTGAAACAAGGAATTGCTTTGCCTTTCTTAGCTTATTGGATTTAAATCCAATTGAAAACTGCTGGCTTATTTGTATTGATTTATTGAATCCCTGTTATAAGAATGACTGTTAGTCACACTACGGTAGTCCTAACACTGTGTTCAGGTAGTACGCTGTAAGAGCTATACACGTACAGAGATGAAACAGACAAGAACACATTTCTACTGAGAGCTTTTCACATTTGAAGTGCTTTACAAATGTTAGCAAATTTATCCTCACAACATCCATGGGAGGCAGCTAGGGGCTTTTTCCATCCACAAGGGTTTCAAGTGTTTTACTATCCAAATGCTCAGATGCAAAAATTAAGGAGACTGTATTTTTACTTTTTATCAATGACCCCACTGTTGTGAGGAAGTACACAGAATTTTTTGGGTTAGGCAACTGACTTGTGTGTCTTGCTACCATACTCAGGGTCTTCCTGACTGCCAGATTTGGGGTCTGGAAGGAATCTTCCTTCAGGTCAGACAGGCTGGCACTTTTGGGGCTTTTCATGTTCCTTCATAGCATGGGGTACAGAGAGTTTGCCAGGATCATCTGGGCACAACCAACCTAATCAATTCCCTGCCATCACAGGGAACTTGGGCACTAGTAGCACCTCAGTCTCTCCCATTCTCTGCCTACAGTGCACAGCCATTAGCCTCCCAAAGACCGAAATGTTTTGTTTTAACTGGGGTCACCAGGTTCAACATAGAGGTGTTTGGATGAAGTGTAGTGGCCTAGATGATTTAATGGTCCCTTCTGGCCTTAAATGTGATAAAAGCTCAGCTTAGGTTCCAGATTCCCTTTGCCCCTAGCTTACCTTGAAGTAATCTCCAAATGACCAGGAACCCAGCATCTCAAAGAAGGTGTGGTGGTAGACGTCTTTCCCCACATCATCCAGGTCATTGTGTTTGCCCCCAGCTCGGATGCACTTTTGGGTATTGGCAGCTCTGGTCAGTTTAGCCATGGGATGGGATGGGTCCAGGGTATTGAGGAAGATGGGTTTGAACTGGGAGGAAACAGAAGCAGGATGATTGAAACACAAGAACCCACCCAGGCGGCGAGTATCCTGTGGGCTTAACGCATGTATTAGGAAATGCTGACGTTGTCACTCCACCAGCAGGGCGTCTTTCCCATCACTCCTACCCAGCCATGAGCAGTACTGCTGGACTCTGTGCCCAGAAGGAGGGCAGGTATGGCCCCACTCCTAATTCAACATCACCAGGGTTTTTCTAAACAGGATTGTTTGCTTGGTGCAACAGGACTGATCCAAAGCCTGCTAGAGTCTTTTCACCAACTACTTTGGGATCAGGCCCCTAGCGAGGGATTCAGAAGAATGAACGGAATGAGCAAAACGCTGCCTGTGCACAGATCTGAAGTGTCCAATGAGCCCTCTGACTGATGACAATCCCCTACAGAACAGAATGCAGCCTGCACCATTCCTCAAGGATTCCATATGGGGAGGCAGGCTTTAAACTAAGCAGGGCTTAGCAGAATCATTGTGGTGAAACGCTGCTCAGGGATGTGCTGATTTAGTACATTCCTCAGGTGCCATGGGCAGACGCCATTCTCAGCCTGCCCCACCCCACTCTGGGCCCTCCAGTGAACACGGACATCTTAACTTGTGTGATCTCATCACAATCCTGGGAGCCCATAGCCAGGAGTGTGACAGTGGAATCAATGGAGCAATTCAGGCCTGTTATATCTCACCAGACTGAATCTCAGTGTGATACTGGGGATGTAAAAAGTTAACCAGGAACCCGATAAGCACTTTATCGACATGCTTACTGGGGTAAACTGTTAATCGGTGGGAGGCTGCTCACTGTGCCATAGGATGCTCCAGACAGGTCAGAGCAGCCCTATGCCATGGCAGTATGGGCCCAACCACGCTGGAGCAACACCCCATCCACGGGGTGCACTGGGACCTGCTCAGCCCAGCCAAAACAGCTCCCCGCTTCTGATGGGTCTGGCCAGGCTGCAGCAGCTCTGTGCTGCAGGAATCACTGTTAAGAGGTTAAACAGTCTGTTTAACTGGTTAACTTTATAACTGGAATTTTACATCCCTAATAAATACTAGCCACATGGCTAAGCACACCTTCATTCTTTGCTCCTGCAGAAAGAACAAAACAAGTACCAAAGCTGTAACAGTCCTAGTGAGAGTCCTACCTGATTCATGCCAGCATTGGCAAAGAGCAGCGTAGGATCATCCAATGGGATAGTAGCAGATGAGTGCACATAGGTGTGCTGGTGCGCTTTGAAGAAGTCAATGAACTTCTGACGGATCTGCCTCGCTGAGAGTGTCTCTTCCATTTTGAGATCACCACGCAAAGCTGGCAAAAGAGAAGGGAATAGAAAGCAGACAGGTGAAGGATACATTCTACTCAGTTAATGGGACGATAACAAATAAGGATCCCAGGAAAGGGGCAAATGGGATGTAACTCACCCAATTCTTTTGCTTGGGTCTAATGAAAATTAGGTTAGAAATTAATATCTGAAAACCTAACTTGTTTTCAAAAGTGATGAGTTTCATTCTGCCATATTGAGCTAAAGGATCACAGATTCTTCAGCTTTTAAGGAAAAGTGAAAGTATCCTCACACTCCTAGCAGCATTCTATACCCCAAAATTATAAATTCTGCAAATGTTGTGTCAAAAATCACGTTTCAATTACTCTAGTAATACATTTCAAAATACCTGTCAGCAAGTATGTCTATTTTTACAGACACACAAAATTTCCACCAGAAGCAGAGAGTTAAAGAAACCCTTCTGATCCCCCCAAAGCACTGGCAGGGGGCAAGGCACCCACACCTCCTCCTCCAGATCCCAGCTGTGGCCTCCTCAGCCTAAATACTTGGACCCCCCAATTCCCAGCTGTGGGGACCTTCCCTCACTCACCTAGACACCTACTCTTTTCTTCCCCAGAACCTTGAGATCCAGAGGACAAAACAGCCTGATGCTTGACAGACTTGCATGGAATTCCCTGTGAGCTATTCTCTTCTTCCCTCAAGGTGTACTGGGAACTGCAGCTGCCTGCAACCCTCTAACTCCCACCTCCTTCCCCCAGCAGTGACTGTCTCAGCTGGGCTCTAGCATCCCTTAGTGGTGGCAAGCAGCAATGCAGGCCATTTTGGGGGTGGCAGGAAGAGATCCTGTGCACACATTAATGTCTGCAAAATTCTGCATTGCGCAGTGGTGCACAATTTCCCCAGGAGTAATCCCCTGAAAATGTGTGTGGTGGATACCAAAAAGTTAAGTTAGACTGAGCGTGGCCTACAACAGCTCTCTAGAAGGAGCCCTGAATCACAGACACAAAGGCCTGCAGTACTGAAGAGTCTATGCTGCAGCTCATGAATGCCAGCCAAGGATCACATTGCCTCCCAAACAGAACAGACAGAACATGAGTTTCAAGTAATCGTTGCTTGATTAGCTTTCATTAACATAAGCAGCTTTTTCCTTATATATACACCTTTGCTTCTGGGAGAAATTGGAGAAGGTTCAGAGAAGAGCAACAAAAATGATTAAAGGTCTAGAGAACGTGAGCTATAGGGCAAGGCTGAAACAATTGGGTTTGTTTAGTTTGGAAAAGAGAAGACTGAGAGGGCACAGGATAGCAGTTTTCAGGTATCTAAAAGGGTGTCACAGGGAGATGGGGGGGGAATTGTTCTCCTTGGCCTCTGATGATAGGACAAGTAGCAATGGGGTTAAGCTGCAGCAAGGGAGCTTTAAGATCAGGGTGGTTAAACACTAGAATAAATTGCCTATGGAGGTTATGGAATCTCCATCACTGGAGATATTTAAGAGCAGGTTAGACAGACACCTATCAGAGATTATATAGACTATGCTTGGTCCTGCCATGAGGAGAGAGGACTGGACTTGATGATCTCTCGAGGTCCCTTCCAATTCAAGTATTCTATGATTCTGTAACTTCCACTCCAATGAAACAAAAAACAGGACTATGTAGCACTGTAAAGACTAACAAGATGGTTTATTAGGTGATGAGCTTTCGTGGGCCAGACCCACTTCCTCAGATCAAATTGTGGAAGAAAATTGGCACGACCATATATATATATATATATAGTCCTTTGGCCTGACCATATATGCCAAAGGATATATGGTCGTGCCAATTTTCTTCCACTATTTGATCTGAGGAAGTGGGCCTGGCCCACGAAAACTCATCACAGCTACATCTCTATTACTATTCTACTCCAATACAGCTGATGAAGTGGGTTTTACTCACAAAAGCTTATGTCCTAATAAATCTGTTAAGTCTCTAAGGGACTCCTTGTTGTTTTTGCAGATACAGACTAACATAACTACTCCTCTGAGATTACAAATCTGCAGTTAGGGCTGACAATATAGTAATTCACTTAGCAAGAAAAAATAGAACATGCTATTATAATTTAAAAAACCCTAAACACCAAGATGCGAGAATCAGAATCAAGAATCCTGCACCAATCATCACTATCCTGCAGCAACTTGGCAACCAGCCCCTCCCCAGCGAGCACTGGCTGCTTCCCACTGCCTCTCAAAATACAAGCAGACTGGGAAAATGTTGCGGTCCATGAAAGTGTGTATGGGAGGAGCGATAAGCAAGGTCTACTACAGCAGACAGAAGTAGGAAAGGGATCTAGATGGCTCTTTTCTAGTTGCTTTTCCAAAGCCACAGGAGCAGCAGCATGATTGTCAGTGCAACACCTTTAGACAGCCTACACCTATGTCAGTTCCATCATCCAGATCCACAAAAGCCATTAGGCACCTGGCTCCCACCAAAATCAATGGAAATGAGGTATCTACATATCCTAGATTAGAGGGTCTGAGTCTTCAAGTCCATTCTGGAACCCTCCACCAGAACTGAGAGAGAAAGAAGTGTCCTGTTTCACAAACAAAAGACTGAGCAGAGAATCTGCCTCTTCACCATGCAAGTCATTGGGACAGCTGCCTCCCTCTGAGCAAGAGAAGAGACTGGGGCTGCAAGGGAGGGGAAAAAGCAAAATTTAAAAACCACAAAATCATTTTTGAAGTGTACTAAAAACTCTACTGGCATTTTAGCTGTCAGGCCTTTTCCCTTTCTCCAAAGCAGGCATTTTGGCAAGAATCAGAATCATGCATCTGACGAAGTGGGTCTTTGCCCACAAAAGCTTATGCTCCAACACTTTGGTTAGTCTATAAGGTGCCACAGGACTCCTTGCCGCTTCTGCAGATTCAGACTAACATGGTTAGTCCCCCATGGTTACCCCTCTGATACTTGACATCTTGGTGACTTGGCCAAAGGTCACATGCAGTGCAGCTGAGCCAAGAATTGAAGCCAGGAGTTCCAACCACAGCATGTCCGGATGGAAAACAGGTTGTGTGTTTTTAAGCAGGGCTAGGATGGTGCAACAAGACTCCAAACCATTACACAGAGGGAACAGGCCCAAAGCACTGGGGTGGAACTGGCTACAGTCCAAGGCACTGGGCTGGCACTGGCTACAGTCGGAAGACAGGATTCCGAGCTGGACAGATCACTGGGCAGACCCAGTATGGCCATTATATTCTTACAAAATGTTCTGAAAACAGGCCCATGGGCCTGACACTGAGCGATCTGGTTTAAAACTGCACTCAGATCCATCTCCAGCATGTCATGGACACATTACCAGAGCCACACCATGCACAACCCTAATACATGCTCGCTGTATGCCAGGAGGGCCTCACACTCGCACTCCACAGCACAACTCCCACCCCACCTCTCCTGCAGGGGGCAGCCCATTCCCACTCCACTGCACGACTCCCCCGCCCTGCCCCTCCTGTGTGGGGCTGCCCCATTCCCACTCCACTGCACGACAACCCCACCCCGCCTCTCCTGCGTGGGGCTCCCCCATTCCCACTCCAC